ATCATATCATGAAAATGTCGTAAGGTGCATTTTTCCCCATACGATTACATGTAAAACAAATAATTTGTTCCAACACAAAAAACACACTCAAATTAAAGCTAAGTAGTACATTGAAAAAAAATAACTTTAGTAAGGAAAACACTGAAAAATTCATTTTGTAGTTGTAAATGTATAAATAACCATAATAGAATAATAATTGATAAAAAAAAAATGTAGTTTTATTTGCACTTTACCTTTGAGGATAGACGACGGTGGAGGTGTAAACTGGTGGCGGAAGAGAGGGAGAAGGGAAATGATACTAAAACTTAACTACATTACATAATGTAACAATAACTTAAAAATAACTTAACACTAATTNATAAATAATTATAGATATAATGTCAGCAACAGTAGTTGAGATAATATCTGTAAATGTAGTGCACATTTGAATATATCAAATATATTTATTTTATTGAAACAAATATATTTGAAACGTAAATGAATGTTCTTATTTTCCCGAAGTGTCATTTCAGCTCTATAAATCATCAAAGTAAAAAAGGAAAAATTTAATGTGTAATTTTCAATGTAACATTCTTAAATGATTTATCAGAAATAGAGAATTTTTGATAAATAAATTAAGTTAAAAAAATCAAGAATCAATTATATTGACTTAAGAATTAATATAAAGTATTGGGGGCCATTGAGAGCTTAACAGAATCCAGGAGTGGAGTGAGCCTCTTTTGCTCCTTTGGAGGACCCTTTTAATAATTATTTTCTATATATATATATGTGTGTATTTCATTTGTTCATTATATATATAATGAACAAATTAAATACATATAAAATGTTTATTAATAGAAATCAGTCTTAAAGAATTTATTTTTTGTTAGTAAAAATAATGTTTTAATTCATAGGGCTGGAACCACTACAGTGCACTAAGTTTTCTGAGGATCTGGGAAAACATCCCCTCCTGCTTCCTCAGTGGTCCTGTAGATTGTTATAATTCTTTATAATTCAAGGTTATTACATAAATGATTTAAATTTGTTTAATATATTGCATTTCTTTGTATAAACTATTTAGCTATGTGATTTTAATTGGAAAATTTTAATAGTTTGTATGTCAAATCATATTTTATACATTATCAGAAATCAGAAAATNGTGAGGGTCTCCCCCTGATTGAAAGACTCAAACCTTTAACAATTCTTGATGATTATTATTATTATTATATTTCTGGCTACAAATGACTTAAAACCAGCTTACAAAATAATTCTAATGTATTTCAATACTATTGACTATCAGTATATCTATACTTCAAATATTTGCTAGACACAAAAACTAAACATTCTAAACACACACACAAATAAATAAATAAATTTAATTGAATTATAGAGACTAATTCTACAGTTCATAATTAAATAACTAAGGATTGAAAGAGCTGCTAACAGATATTCATTCTGAATTTTGTACATTATACCTTTGTCAAATACAGAGTTATTTAAGCAACAACACATCTCTCATTCACACACACACAAACAACTTATTCTAAACTCTATTACTTAAATTTGAGAGTTCACAGAATTACTGAAAATTTTTAAGACTGGAAAGTATTTCTTTAAAAGACGAGAAAAAAATTAGCCAGAATAAAACTCCAAGTATCTTCTAATACATTAAAATGTTAAAACTTAATTTATACGTACTTGAAATACAGTACTTTAAAAATTTATTTAGATTTACATTCATACATTAAATATCAAATTTAGTATTATAAAATTGACCCACCTCTATTTTTTGTTTGAAAATATGAAAAGTCTTTGAAAGCAAAAAATGGAACATTATAAAAACCAAACCCTAAAACATCAGAGTTTTTATTACTAAATCATTTTTAAGCTACTTAGAAATTAAAAGTAAATTTGGAATTAGAAATAATAAATAGATCCATTATGCTTGGTTAATGTTATTTTTGTATTCTGTCCAATGCTTTGTATTTTATTTTAAAATACTTTTTTTTAAAGAATTTTAATGTAGAAAACTATGTTCCTTTTTCAAATTTCTTGTAAAGATTGAAAACCCATGTTGTACTTTTGAATCTCCTGCTTGAAGATGGTGGTTATGCACTGTTGAAAGTTCTTGCAAATTTGTGTCCAAATAAAGTTACATAATGCTGAGAATCTTTGGACTCAATTTAAAAGTCTTTAGCTTCAATTTACAAGTTACAATAATTACTTTTGTATAACTGCCAGTGACTTCTGATGAAAATACATTGTCTTCTTGGCTTATGAATAATTTCTTGCTTTATCAACTGATTGACACGAGGCTTACATATTTCTTGAAATACAAGTAACAGATTTTTATCAAAATCACATTTTCTCCATTCTGTTAAGACATTATTATAGTATCTTTCTTTAAAATAATTCAAGAAGTGAAAACATTTTATATAATCAGGCTTTTATATTTCAAACTGAGAGACATCCATTCATCTTTAGCCTGAAATTAAACGAATTAAAAATATTGTTAATAATTTAATTAATCTGTAAAATTTGGACTTATTAATGACAAATCAATAAATTTAATTACTAAATAAAATTTAAGGTTAATTTTTTAAAAATTATGATCATCATCTAGCTAGCAATTAGAAAATAATCAGGTTTTCATTACTTAAAAACAAAGCATTTTTCCTTGTAAATGTAATAAATATAGTAGACTGTGCTTAATGTAACCACAGATATCATCAGCCATTTAATGTTATCAGAATTAACATTCCGCAAATCATGTAAGTTAAAATACAAGTTTCACTTGTAAAGTTTGGTTTGGTAATACTTATTATATTCAGATTAATAGGCATTTTTAAACTATTTTTTTCACATCATCAGCTTTATTTATAACATGTGTAGTTTAAAATGATGAATTTCTTACTTCAATTATATGTTGTCTGAATTACTATTAATCAATCAATCTACAATTAGTTTAACATGTCATTTTAACAAAAAAAAATTTTTTTTTTAATTTAAAAAAAAAATCAGAATTTCCACTAATTGTAATCTTAATTACTTAACCTGCTTATAGGCTTTCCAACTATCCTCCTTTTAGCTGTATTTCCCTCCTATTCTCTTTTTATCAATAAGATTCCCCTTTAGAGTACAGTTTTAACTGTTTTTGTTTATATCATCTCTAAATTATTGGCAGACAACATTCCAATATTTTATTTGTTTATTCGAAAGTAATAATTTTGTCTTTATAACTTAGCTAGAGTAATGGAAAGAGAGGGACTATTAATTAGAGTCAGACAAGCAAATAAAATTTAAGGACTCAAGGTGGCATTGTGCAACTATTGGTAATAATTCTAATACTGGTGTCAGGTTCTGTCAGACTAAAGTCAAAGTATAGCTACCCAAGCAAGTGTAACATTAAGCTGTGTTATTGGTATATTTGTCAACATCTAGAAATTTCCTAACAATGTGATGTGTGTTTAATATTGCAGCTTTCTGTAGTGCCATGTATATGTTTTATTAAGGTTTAATGTTTCTAGTNTTTTAGCAGTATGTATAAAACTTCTAGTGATGTGCAGAATAGGATTAAGCAGCATATTTTCCATGTCAAGACATGATATTGGTGGCTTTTATTCAGATCTTAACACTAATTTTTTTTTTAATCTTTTCTGTTTTATATATATTTTTAAAACTTTTTATTCACTGCTGTTTGCTTTCTTTCCTTCACTTCCACCAGCAGTTTCACTGGATAGAGGTTGCTTGGTAAAATATCTATCCAAAGAGGTTTGGCTTTGCCTACTTTCTAAAATGTTTTAGGCAAATGTCATTACTCTAAGCAGCAATACGGCCAGTGTGAACCTTTTCGGGATGTTTCTTTTCAATAAAATCAGTCACTTTCTGATAATACCTCAAGATATGCTTTATTGAGCGAGATCCTTCCACATTCTATTCATTCTATCTCTAACTGCATTACTATTTAACAAAAATTCACTATACCTTTAAAATGCAGTCTAGTTTACATCTGTCGAACGTTTTCGGTCTGATTCACAAACCTTCAGACCGAATCAGACCGAAAACGTTCGAAAGATGTAAACTAGACTGCATTTTAAAGGTATAGTGGATCCTTCCACAACGAAGCAAACACGCAGACTGAGAACAATGAACAGAAGTGAATAAAAAATGGCGCTGCAAACTAATGTAACGTCATATGGCGAGTTTTTGTTCATATCGTGGAGCAAAAATATGTTTGAATTTCATGTTGTATCCTGAAAATTTTGTATGCTGGGGCGTTCGTATCCCAAGGTACCACTGTATTGTGTGTATTGTGACTTTGATTATTAAATGCCTACTAAATATTACACACAAAAAAGTTACAATCCTTCTAACTCTGGATAATTTAGTGTTTATACTTGTGTACTCTTACAATCCATGATGGTAGTCCTAAGGGTGGACATTGTTTCCATATGGTTACAGAATGCGACATGCTGAATAACAGAATATAGTCAACTCTAACAAAATATCTTAGCATAATGTATTTTAATATGGTATAACGAATTACTCTATAATGAAACGAATTTCCTAGGTAAGAGTGTAAATAAAACTTGTAAGATTAATAAATAAAATATAACAAAAGACCTAAATGACAAACACTTATGGTTAGATCAATTTTATCATCAAATATGAACAATGATGAATGACAAGTGAACATTTTCCAGAAAGTGACTTAACTAGGCCATCATTGCAACACAAGTACAAAGAAAACATCAAAACAAATCTGAAATTCTATGGTCGACCAAAGCTACCAAGAGCATAATGATACATTATCTGCCGAATGATTATAAATTACTCATACAGCACTGAAGAAACTTCAATTACATCGTACTTTACACCTCAATAGGCATGTATATTTGTGCGACTTTTTCAAATAATATATATTTTATATTCTATAACCTGTATTTTAATACTTATGTACATATGTATGTATATAGTATTTTAAAATTAAAGTTTAGAGTAAAACACACGAATCACTCAAATAATTTTTTTTCAATACAACTTTAGAATAAAAATCATTTAAAGTTTTAATGGGTCCTCGAATTTTGTTATATCAAGTTACTGCCGTATCTTTAAAAATGATATACAATTAATTTTTTTAATGATGCGGGATGTGTCTTCTTTAAGAAATAAAATTTTTAAGCATATAAAAGAATTGACTAGAGTTGGCTTTTTAAATTGGGTGGTGGTTGAAACACTATTGCAACACAGTTAAAATCCTATATTCACATTTTAATTACAAAAAATAATTCAATATATACAAAAGTCTATAATCATATTTGTATTTATTCAGAAATTATTCATAATTTGAATAAATAAATTCTTAAAGGAAATCATAGAAAGCAATTATCAAAGATTCAGAAAATAATTGAATCAAAAGATTGATATATTACAATTAATCAGTCAACATTGAATGAATAGTTAGTTAAAATATACAAAGCTCTCTCTCTTCACAGATGAAATTCTCAGAAAAACCTGTTCTTTAGAATATTCAACTTAAATGACAGTTGTTGTTGCGATACATTTAAGTTAATGACCCGATTCCAATTGTTCGTGGATACAGACCTCAATGTAACGATACACAGAAGTACTAAATTGCTAGGAATAAAACTTATCTCATGCATTATATAATGTCCTGCATGCAAATTACATGAGAGATTTTTTTTAAATGAGTCAAAACAAAAAGTATTAAAGTCATTCATTCCTGTCACTAATAAATAAAAATGGTAGATTGAAAAATAAGTTTATTTTCAAAAATCTTTGCCATGCCTAACCCATTTAAATTTGCTTTGTTCCACCTTTTGTTTTACGAACACAGAAATTTTATTATATCGATATTCTAATCTTTATTAATTTGTTATGGCCATCAAAGATCTGAATTAAAAAAAAACCTTTTTCAATCTTGATTATAAATTAATTCAAATACCCAAATTTCATTGAAATTAAATGTAAGAATTTATATATTCTAACAATTACTGTAACTTCTGCTGTTGATTTTATTTAGTCCTGTGCCTAAAATATAATTCTTTGACACTCATTGGTAAAAGTTGTTGGCTTTAATCCGCTGAAAATATTTACACAAGCATTTTATCGTGTAAAAATAGTCTTGTACCAAAATTTATCCTGATAAAATAAAAACAGAGATCAATAATGAAGAAAACATTTCTAATTAACATAATTATAATTTATCCATTGGTCAAATTTCTGTAGTAAAAAAATTCCAGTGTGTTTGCTCTCAATGACTTAATTATCCTTATTTATTTAAATTTAATAATCCAGATCGGCACAATTTCCAAATATGTTTTAGTTCGTGTGATCCGAGTATTATTCTTGCTGTGACAATGATCCATTAGTAATTAATGTATTGAGAATACATATAATTTTGCAGTTTATTCAATTTTAAAAATCTTCACAAATTTAGGCCATAATCTCAAAATTTCAGTAGCAAGTCTGTAGGACTTGCATATTACTTTAAGATTTTTGAAAATTATCTTCAAAATTACATATATAACTTTAAGAGGAAAAAGTTTCTATTTAATACAACCTTTTATACAATGTGTAACAACAACTATTCAGATGAAGTAAAGCATATTTATTTTCTGTTCGTGATAACAACAGCTATATGATGAGCAGAATTTTAAAAATGATTTTGCAAATTGGTATGACATGAAATATTTAGGTACATTATAGTAGCCTTATAATCAAGGCTAGAAATTATTCACAAATGATAGGAAACTAAACATCACAAATTAATCTGGTGACGGTTTCCATTTTGCTATCATGATTCTTACATTGCATTGGAATAAATTACATATCTTAATTTTCACATCAGTTCCTAAGTTCACCAATCAATTGAAGAACCCTTTTCAGTCCCTCAGGCACAATAGCACTATACAATTATATAAGCACCAATCTTTAAGTCAATATAAGTTTCTATATATATATATTTATATATTTATATGTATGTACTTCCCCTTCTTAAGTGTATAATTACTACACACTATTCTGGTGGGGGAGGTGGTGGAGGTGGTGGAGGTTCTCGTGGAAGAGGAGGATCTCCTGTTGGTAACGGTGGTGGCATTGCTGGCCGATTGTAGAGTTGAGAAAGTCTTGTTGTATTAACGGGTAATTGAACCGGAGTAGGATACGGGTAGCAGGTGTAAGATGGATAATACTGATTATTATATGTAAGAAAAGTCTGTGAAACAGGATTGGGTTTAGGCATTTGGTACGGCATAGTTGGAGTATTGATTATTACTTGTTTATTTGTAGAGTCAAATTGCTGATTGTGCATATTTGTTTTATTCGAATCAGGAGGCAATGGAATGTCTGATCCATCATTTGTAAGATGAGACTTCCTTACATGAGAAGACTGGTCATATTTTGCCACTTTTGATGGCCTGTCTATGACTGATAATTCTGCCGGTTTGTCATGTGATGTCTCGTTTGGACTTCTCTCACGTTTACGAGCTTCTCTTTCTGCTTTTTGAGGTGCACAAGAAAATGAATGATATTTTTGTTTTTTGTCCTTAGTAATAACTAATTTTAGGCCAGAATTTGTATTCGTAGCATTTGCATTACTAGGCATTTTGGACTGTTCATTATTTGATATTTTTACTTTGGGGATTTTTATTTTCAATGCTTCTCTTGGTGGACTACCACTACTTGATCTTTGCGCTGTATCAGATTTCACATTACTCAACATAATTTTATCTTTAGGTATAGTTATTTTTAAACCACCAGAAACAGATGTTGGAGTTATCTGATCTGAAACATTAATTTTCTCAGAATTATGAGAATAATGCTTGTGTTTGTGTTTTTCCCGCCTATCTTGTTTAGTTTGCAATTCACTAGATTTTTCATATGAGGAATCAGATTTTTTAGATAGGTCATTATCTGATTTGTAATTGGCAGGAATAATTTCAGTCATTTTCTGGTTACTTGAATTGTCTCCATCTTCTATTGCTCTTCTTGTTTCTTCTCTATCGTGCAAAATACCATCTTCGTGCAGAATTTGGCCAGATATCCTATGCCTCTGATGTTTAACTTTATTTAATTTTGTTGTTGTTGAACCATGCTCTTCATTAAATAAATTTGATTGAGATATACTTGAAAATCCTGACCAAATTTCAGAAGTATGCCTCGAATCATGCCTTAATTTTGTGTCTTGTTCTGAATGGAGTGAGTGTTGATTTCCCTGCTGAACAGTACTTGAAAGTCGAGAGGAATTTTTGTCATGATGATTGTGAGGATTTGCAGGAACTTCAGATTGTTCTTTATGTTTAGACATCACAGTTTCAAGTTTGAAGTCATCCGAATGAATATCACTCAATATGTTATCCATTCTATTATCAGAAATTCTACTCATAGCAATTTGTCTCATGTCGTCTGCAATTTTTTGCTGTAAAATTTCTTCATTTGTTAGTTTAGATGTTCCATGTTCACTCGATAGTTCATCATTAAGGAAACTTGAATTTTCTTCTTGTTTTAGGTGCATTTGTTTCATATATTTCATTCTCTCTCTGTCAGAAACATTTTGATGGTGATGGGATTTTCTTTCATCTTTACTTAATTTCTTATTATTAGGGACAGAATGTATTTGTATTGGATTATTGTGACTGTCAGTTTTATTCTGTTGTGCTTTTAACTTTTGCTCAAGCAACTGTCCCTTTTCCTTTTCCTTCTCCTTCATTTCTTTGTAAACTGCAAGACTAATGGAATGGGGATTTTCACCTTTGGAACGTTTTGATGGTGAAGGTTGTTGCATCATAGGAACAGCAACATTAGGAGGAGGTAATGTAGTGGCACACTGTACAACACTGGCTTTTGAATGATGCTGGCTTTCTTTAGTAGCTGGTGACAACACACTTTTGTGATGATGGCTAGACTGTTTGGAATCCAAAGATAATTTCTTATCATCCTGTCTTGTTTGTCCTTTATCATGAGAAAAGACTGCTGTAGTCGAGCAAGGAGCCTCATTTTTAAGGCGCTTTTCCATTGCTTGTAAATCCTGGAAAAAGATTAAAAGAATGATTTTAATATTTATTTTAATTTGAAGTGTTTTCAGAATTATTTTAAAAAATATATTGATAACCAGAAGTCAGATATTTGAAAAATACATATTAATGAAAAAGATGTCCTTTTGTCATACAAATAAGATATAAAATTAACTCAGAATGGCATTTTCTTATAAAAATCTTAAATAATATTTGCAATTTAAATATCACTTATGCCTAGTTTATACATACATTTAAAACCAACAACAGAAGTAAAAATAGACTTTTATTGTGCATGCTATTATCAATTGTTATAAGAAGGCAACATTTATTGCCAATAAGGAATCTATTATTAGAAATACTGAATAAATTTCTTTGTTCAGACTAATTTTCAATCACAAAATATTTTGGAAAGTGCAAACATTTAAGACAGAAAGAATTCTTTCAAATTAAAAATCAAATACCCATTGCATAGTTATCAGGAAATATAATTAAATAAAATATACAAGTGACATCTGTTTTTAATGTCTTCCTGATAAATCTTCAGGTGTATTTTTCAAAATGTTTTGTAATTAGATTTAGATCATCACTAAGAATTATGATGTAATTTTAGATCATATACATTTTAGAACATACAAGTAGATGCATTTCATCAAAGTATAAAATACAATAGTTATGTAATTCTTATATTTAATGATTTCAAACCAAATTATATTTTTTCAATTGCCTTAACACATACAGTTGTCTGCTTTTCTGGAGATATAGACAAAATTCTACAAACTTTAGTCTCTTGAGTTATATGACAACTTATCCTGAATATCAAACTATTGTGACAAAAGCATGATGCAGGTTTTAACATTACATATTGGAAACATACTTCATTTTAAATCATTTTGGCATACCAGTGGTCAAGTAGGTAAAACCATTGAACACCTTGTAGGTTGGTCCCATGTTTACACTTCACCAACCAGCTGGATGTGTGAAAGTTTTCCATGTTTTCTTCATGTGTCTAACACCTAAATACAGACCAGTTTCCTGTCCAAGGAGAGCAGTCTTTCAAAATAGTGATGTAATGAATACTTTGTGTTGCATTGCCATACTCCATTAAACCAAACCATTCCATGCTACCTGCTAGCTTCTGTCTAACCAGTGAAAAAGACCACTTACTTCATATGAATCCTAAAAATTTTTTTTAGTTCCTTATTTAACTCCTCTCTCCCATGAGCCCCATTTGATAAAGAAAAAACACTCCAACACTAAGTTGTCTATTCCAGCCAATTCTTTAGTACACATTCCCATGTGTACCACCAAGGACTCTCCAACTTTCACATAATGTTTATTGTACCACTGAGAATGGGCTGAAAAGCTTAGCAGTACTAAGATTTAAATATAATTTTTTTATCTCCAAAAAGATAACTGACTATACTAATTGTAATCACTTTGAGACTTGCTTATACAGATAATGAAGATCAACTAATTGCAAAGTAGTATATTTCCATAAGCTAGTAATTAACCAAATTTAAACCTAAACTAATGTATTACTTTTTGGGGCTATTGTCCAGATAACTGATCTTGATAAAGGGTTCAAGCCTTGTTCAGGATTGATCTTTCTTTTCAGAATTTTGTAAAATATTTAATAATTAAAAATAATTTGGAACTTAACTAATCCTCACAAAAAAATGTTGCTTAATTGCCACTTTTCAGACCAAATTCAGATATTTAATTAAGCACTATAAATAAAGCTAGTATCCACCAAGAAACTACAAAAGCAACATTTTCACCTGTGCTGAATGGTCATTGCCAGAATAAAAGACTTCCATAGTTCAAATGCAGCTGTCAAAACAAACAGTTCAAACAGAAGAATTACTCAGGACAGGTGATTGCCATCCAAGTGCTAAGGGTATGTGACATAAAAGAGGAGGAGAGGGTTGCAAACTACTGAACATTGTAGAACAATTTCCATGCAAGGAAAGGAATCTACTTTCTCTGAAGTTGATATCTACATTTTACCTTGCAGTTTTGTAAATTTCTAACTGTTCTAAATATTAAAGTCATTCTTTGCAGAGAGATAGTGTGCTTGGTTAAAATGTAGCTGTGTTGGGGTCAGTGGCAAAGGTTGCTAATGTTATGGTGACAAGTTCTTTAATGATGAAAGTTTAAAGATTGCCCTGTAGTACCCAAGTACACCAAGATCACCAAGATGGTGGGTGTACTTGGGTGCTACAGGGCAATCTTTGTTGGTTCTGTGATCCATAATAGGGATAATATATACACCAGGAAGGAGGCACATATCAGGTCTTTGGCATTGCAGAGAAGGGTATAAACTGAGGGACTTCTAAAAGCTAATTGAAGGTTATTATTTCTGAAATCTCCTTGTAAAGGGTTGTTGGTCTTTTGTCACATGTAACAGCTTTATATACAGTGTCATGGGAGCAAATGTTGAGATTGAGAATAGTGGAAAAAGAATGAAAACAAATTAGACCTTTAATAGTGTTCAGGTTCAGAGAGTAGCGATATTGCCTAGCATAATGGGTAATAGTTTGGAGTTCCTTATGCATCAGATGAACGGGTGAAGGCTCAACAAATTAGGGCATTGAAACCAGCTAGTTTTATACGTAGCACTTATTTACGTATATCCAGTTTGAGTTGTTGAATTAATATTTAATTAATTAAACATCAACTGTAATTAGCCTAAGAAATATTCTGGCAATTTAGGCTTAGGGGTTTGGTTCCAGAAAATAAATGGTAAACTCTTTGGAATAGAAGAGGCAGACATGGAATTAATTAAGCTATATACTATAATTTCATAATATACCAAAAGTAGTAATTATTTTATTTAATTTTTCTAAAAATAGATTTAGTAAAAATAAAGATTTCATAATTATTTAAGAAAAATAAATAATTTAGAGTGTGAACCTGTATCCATTGTATTAAATTTCACGATTCAACTAACTGCACCACCTTTAAGCTACATAAACCAATCTTGGCCTCTTTGTGCTCTCTGAGTGATAAGGGGCCTAAAACCACAAATAAAAAAAAAAAATAAATCATCCAGTCAAATTCAATGTTTGAACTTAATTTCTAATGTTTACCTCACAAAAACAGAACTAAAAAATCTGAAAAACAAACATTTTAAGTTTAGTAAGTTTATTCCTAAAGATGCCATCAAGATTATTGGTGGAATATTCTGATGTTTAACTTTCAATGTAATATGGAAAATACAGCAAGTCTTATTTTTGTTTAATTTTTATAAGAAATACAAGGTCTGTTCAAAAAGTATCGGACCTTTTTTTTTTCCGCATAAACCAATGATGCGCGAGAGACCTCCTTCGGTGGAGTTGTGGAGGGGACAGTCATGCACAGCCCTGAATTTTTTCCCGCCTGCAGGAAGCGTCAGTCGTTGGCAATCAGCCTATGAGTGAGGTCATGTAGTGTGCTCTCGTCGGATTCCACTAAGCTGGAAAATGACTGAACAACGTGAGCAGCGATATTACATCAAATTTTGCAAAAACCTTGGCGATACCCGAGTGTAAACTATTCGCAAGATTCAGCAGGCTTTTGGGGACGATCCTCGAGGCCAAAAAAAGCGCGGCATGTCCACAGCAATATCAAAGGTCATGTTGACAGTTTTTTCGACTCTCGTGGGGTGGTGTGTCGTGAGTACGCACCACAAGGCCAAACCATCGCAAAGGAGTACTACCAGGAGGTCCTTCGTCGTCTTTCCGATACAGTGCGACGCAAACGACCGGATCTGTGGTCGATCAAAACTTGGCAGCTCCATCGTGATAACGCATCCGCCCATTCTGCGCATCTGATTCGGGCTTTCGTCGCCAAACACAATACTCCTGTGGTTCGTCACGCTCCGTACTCTCTCCACATGGCTCCGTGTGACCTTTGGCTATTTCCCAAGCTGAAAATGCCGCTAAAAGGAACCCGAATTTAATCGAGAGAAGACATCGTGCGAAATGCGACGGACCGGCTGATGGCCATTCCAAAAGATGCGTTCCAGCAGTGTTTCCAGCAATGGCAGGAACACTGGGAGAAGTGTATACATTACCAAGAAGACTACTTTGAAGAGGATTAGGGTTTTGTACCTCAAAGTCAATAAAATTATTTTTGCCGACCAAAGGTCCGATACTTTTTGAACAGACCTTGTATATTTATAGATAATTTCATATTTTTTTAAAATTCAATAGACAGATGCTAACTGATAGGAATTACAGTGAGAAATAGACACAAGATCTTTGCTAATATTAACCAAGAATAGAATGGAACACTTTTAAGAATTGAGAACTTTGAAGAGTTTAAAAATAATTTTTTTCTCGGAAACTTTTTCAAGTTTTCATCTTTTTAGAATTGAACAGTTCTCTATTTTTTTACATTTAAATACTTCTATCTTTAGTTGGAATCATTTTAGATTAATTTGAATAAAATCTTATAATAAGATCACTTTTACTATAAAAAATGAACATAACTATGCAACCTTTAACCAATATAATTTTTTTTTTAAATTATATATATAGTATGTACTAAAACCTATTCAAAACAGAAAAAAATATTTTGTACTGTGCAATTCTGATTTACACAGATACACAAGTTTTACTATACTAAATTTTTTCAAACATATTGTTATATATAAAATAGTTATTACTCAATATTTACAATCAAAAAAGTTTTCAAAATACAGTATTTTAACTTAAAAAAATTATTTTAGAACTTATTATTGTATAAAATATCACACATTAAATTATAAACTAAGCAAATAATTGTGTACAATTGCAATATCTTAAGCTAAGAAATCTTTATATGTTTGCAGATGAGACTAAGATTATTTTAAATCATAACACAGCCCCCACTCAGAGGGGGAAAGAGAAAAAGATGAGGGAATTCTCCATTTTAAAAACTTACTTTTACACTTCCAGTAGTAATTTTTCTTTTTAATCGACTTGGACATTTATCCAAAATCAACAGGAATTCTGATGTTAATTCTGAAAAAAAAAAATTTTTTTTAATGCTTACGATAATAGTATTTAAGATGTAATATAACTTTAAATAAATTGAAAATTTATATAGTGTATATCAGTTGCCAAATTCAAAGAGTGATACAGGAAATCCTCGTTAGTTTGAAATTCAATGGACAATATAATCGCAACTTCAAATTATCAAGTTTTGAATTATCCAAGATTTAAATATTTCTGTACAATATGCCAATTGCCATGCAACTGATGTAATTTATTAATGAAATATGGCTATGTATACAGATTGATGTTTTCATTAATAGTAATAAAAATAAACTACACATCAGATGATAATTTCACAGGTTGTCAGATAGGTTTTATAAAAAGTAAAGCAGAAATCCACAAAATATAGCCCAAATTATTTTTTAAAGTGGTCCAAAAAGTAGCAAGTTGTCCAAACATATTAACCTACAGTCCTACAAATATCTCAATCTGCAACTTGTAGCCCAATCTTGCAATCCCAAAACCCAGCCAGATTTTATGAGATAAGAGAAAAAAAAAGGTCCAGGGATAAGGTGACACATGAAAATGTGTTATTGTAAAAGCAAAGCCATATTGACCAAATTAGAGTTGTCCTTGGTCTGTTCTCTTATAGTACAAGGCATTTCAATCTGAATGAACAACTTAACATACACATACTGCAGTTTGAACAGAATTTTCACTTCAAATTTTGAAGTAGCTGTATTTCTAACTAACATAATTCCATAACATGTAAATCTCTATATCCCTGGCCAGGACAAATAGTACAGTTACAAACTAACAAAACTTTGAACTATTTAAGTTCAAATTAACAAGAACTTCCTGTAATTTGTTCTCTCTATAACACTGTTTGCTTACATGAGATATATTCAAATATATTATTATTTACATAGATGTAAATGATGTATCAAACCATAAATGTTTTAAATCTGTCAATTTGTAACATATGTAAAAGAAGAGAGATTGATGCAGTATGAAATAACAATGTTTAAACATCATATGTAACAGAACATACATGATTGATAATTATACTAAAGTACTGTACATCATATAGACTGAAATAGATTAGGCTATTGCACAAATATGTAGTTTATGCCCTAATGCTCAGTGTGACATATACACCAAGACTGCACTTACTTACCTTTTAGACAGAGCATGCTTACCCTTCAAAGAGCATATGTTTGATTAATATCTAAGTGTGATTTCTCACTCCTTATCAATCTTATAAAAGTTAAATTCAGTCTATTTTAATTTTATTGTTATGTTCAATTAGTACAGATTTCCTTTTTTTTAATGTTCACTCCTTTTATAATTGTAGCAACCTTTAAATTTTAAAAGTTTAATCCTATTATACACTCATTGCCATAAAAATTGGTGCACCAAGGAGGAGTTGCCGGAATCAAACAAAATTGCACATGTGAGAGTAATGATGATACAAGTGATTATAAAATGAAAGCAATAGGATCATTTATTGAAACAAAAACTACAAATGAAAGAAGATTCTATTATCTCTGTTGAGCATGGGTGCCATGTGCATGAGCTCTCTTGTCCACTGGTCCCAACACCACCTCACAGTGTTGTCAGAATGGTCTAAGTGATGGGCTATTCAGCAATATTACCGTCTGGATTCTCTCAACCTAATTATCATTCCCTTCTCAAACTCAGTTATTCATATGGTCTTCAACTGCAATTTAAAGGCAACTCTAGTGATATGGCATCCTTCTGCAACAGGTAAACCTTGCAGAAAGATGCCTTTGCACACTTTTTTATATGTCAAGTGGGATGCATTTTAACACCCTCTGCTGGTATTATGCAATGAGCCATCACACTATAACTCTAATCTGCTTCAGACATACCTGCATGCCAAGTTTCGCAGCGATACAACAACTCCTTGGTGAACTAATTTTTATAGTGATGAGCGTATTAACAATATATATTTATATTACTGTAAAGAAGGAACAGTGTCCTCTGCCAATGGCAACTTCAACACCAAGAACCAACTACATTTTAGGCATTTTTTTTTTAAAGAAAGTTTTTAATTATTACTGCCATACATCCTATATGTATTGTAATCAATATATAAATAACAAGTTTATTTGCATATTGATTACATATAGGCAGCATAAAGGTTAAAATGTAATTTACAAGTACTTTACACAAAGTAACTGATGACGAATTTCAGGTCTAAAATGCATTTTGTGAAAATGAAGGTGCCCTGCATTATATATTTTTTTCTTTAGTATCAATGTAGTATCTCTAGTATCCTTTAACAAACAATTCATGTAACCATGTTCTGATTAGTGATTGATCATTGAAGTATTTCAAAACAATGCTTATATTTCAAACAACACTTCGAATAATCAATGTATTCATAAAATGGCTGTAAGTCTTCAAAGATGAATATACACCTAAGGGCATGTAAACAAAAACTGGAATATGAAAATGAGTTTATTCTGGAAATTGTGATATTACAAAAGAACAATGCACATAAATTAAAACATATTTGAGAAGACTATCAGTTTAACAGAATAAATCTACTCTACGGTCTGCTGTCTTCTCAAGGTCTTATGGCAGTCCACACCAAAATGGGAAATTTGCATAATATCTGAACTTCATTTCTGGCATAATATCCTTTCCTTTTTAACAGTAAAAACTATTTCCAGCATATTCAGAACCATTCAGTGTAAAATAAAATTTGTCATCCATAACAAACATCAGGTTTTCTGGTCAAAGATGAACTTGTTTGGTTGCTGTAATAACTGCTTCACAGTGTAACCTGGGTGCAGAAAGCCTTTTCCTAATAACATTCCTTTTAATATCCCATGCATAAGTGTGGGATATTTTGAACTTTTGACACAACTTAGGACTCTGGGCAACTTTATCCACAATGGCATCAATTAGCTGCTTACGGTTTGCTTCAATCAATTCTCTTTTCCCCTCAATTCCTTCTGCTCTGATAAGTGTTTTCTTTTCTCTTTAATTATATTATATTATGCTTTTTGGACATTTAAAATGTTCCACAATAAAAAGTTCATCTTTTGTCAAATTTCTAAACATTGAAGTAAAAAAAAATTTGTACTGAATAAGCAAATTACACACAACAAAGAAAACTGGAAGAAGTTATTTCATAAATTTCATTTACACCTTAATAAACCTCTTTTTATGCATTATCCATTTATACTTTCATTTATACTTTTCTCTGAGCAGTGCATTTGAAGAAAATATATCTCACATATTAGAAATAAAAAATTGAAACCATCTGAAGGCAAACAGTGAAATCTATAAGCTAAGATGTTCTATCTGAGCAGATATAATACTCATTATCTATTTTCTATATTAAGCAAATATTTAAAGCATCCACTCAATCCTACATCAATTTCATCATCTATACAGCTACTAATAAATTCAAGAATGCAACCAGCAAACCATGTATTCAGTTATCTACACAGTTAGATATCTCTAACTGCAAAAGTTCCAAAAATAGCTAAGACCATCTTTTAAAAAAATTAGCTAAGCACTTGATATTACATATTTTTCTACTCTTCAATAATGATTGTTATAAATTTCTAAAATAGTCACAAAACAAAGAAATATGATGAAAACTGGTAGTTAGTTTCAAAATCAGTCAAATTCACAGCCCTTATGTTTCAGACCCAGAAAAAAACGAAGTTGGCAAAACTAAATGCTTCAATTATGGTAAACAACAAAGTGTGCAGAGCATCATAAAAAGATGCAAAATGCCAGAGTTGCACCATTGAAAGTATCCAAAAGGAGAATGTCCAGTATATTATATTCATCTATTTCTTATGATTTTTCAGTAAAAATTTTTATAGTTGTCTGACTAGAAGTTTCCTGAAATGCTCCACATTGAAAGAGGAATAGCTTTTTTTTTTACAATTCTCAATTTACACATACAATCATTTCCAGGAATTATCTATTGGATAACTACAATAACAGTTTTCGAAGTATTGACATTAGGCTTAAACACAACCCTGCCTGATGCTTCAAAACTAACTCTAATTTTAACAGTTTAAAGAATTCAATTGAATTTTTTCCTATGCATAATCTCATTGCCATTTATATACAGTGGTGATAAAAATTAATGATAACAATTCTCAATTAATTTATTTTTTAAATACAAAATAAAACAATTTTGATGACTGACTAAAATACCATAAATCCATGATTCTGACTCTGCAGTCAGGATTTTTTTTATCGCCTTTAAAACTTTTTGTAATATTATACTTGTTACTTGTTTAAACTTAAATATTAATAAATTAAAACTGTTTAATTTTAAATGAAAATTTAAATATATGGTAATTACATAACTTTTTTACTATATTTGTCTACATAAACTATACAGTAACCTATAAACTAAATTATAAACTATACAGTAAACCATATTTGTAATTAATTAAAGTAATCAAAAAATTTTTGTATATAGATAGATTTTTGATTGAATAACTAAGTGAAATGCAAAAAACAAATTAAAAAAAAATTTAAAACCAATTCCTTTAAAAAATTATAGACTTACATGAATTTAAAAATCATCGATTTCAATGTATCTCTCTGTTTTCAACACATTTTTTCCCCCATAGCAATGAAAAAGTCAAATATAACATCCTTCATAATTTTTTTTATTGACCTTAAATGCTTCTATTATGATAACCTTGGCATCATAATCCTGTAATAGACCCCCCATCCTCGTTCACTTCGACAGCCCAGTTGATCTGGCTACCTACTGCGAGGCTGTCCCATGAGAGATGAGGAATGGACATTAGGTTGAGCTCCCAGTTGGTTCCTCACATGCCCTGACATTGTCTAGGGAATGTGAGGGTCTCCCCCTGATTGAAAGACTCAAACCTTTAACAACTCTTGATGATTATTATTATTATTATATTTCTGGCTACAAATGACTTAAAACCAGCTTACAAAATAATTCTAATGTATTTCAATACTATTGACTATCAGTATATCTATACTTCAAATAT